TGTAAATCATCAAGTTCTTGTTGTGCACATTACAATCAAGTCGTTTTCCATATTGTATTGATCCACAACAATAAGTATTAAAATGGATTAAAAAACGTGAAGAAAAAAATAATTTAAAATTAGTCACGTTTCATGATAGTGATTTTTTAAAACATCTTGAAATGGCAATTAAATATGAATTTCCACTTTTATTTCAAGATTGTGATGAATATATTGATCCAGTCCTTGGCAATGTATTAGAAGAAAATATTAGAGGTAAAATAAAATAATATTTTTAGATAGTTAGTTTATCATCTAATTTATTTTTAATAATTTTACAAAATTATAACAAAAAGTATGATTTTCTTCTCTTATTTATTAAGTGTTGAATGTCGTCAGTTTGTCGTATTAGTCGACAAAGAAGTAGATTATGATCCTAATTTTCGTATGTATTTAACATCAAAATTACGAAATCCTCGTTTAACACCGGCTCATTTTGGCAAATCAATGGTCATTAATTATACTGTTACACTTAAAGGTCTTGAAGATCAATTATTATCGGTTATTGTTAAAAATGAACGTAAAGAATTAGAAGAACAACGTGAACTTTTAATACAAGAAACATCTGTAAATAAAAAATTATTAAAAGATTTTTATGCTTTTTATGATTTTGATGCTTTATTGCGTGAATTATCAACATCAACAGAAAATATGCTTGATAATAATGAATTAATATCAACATTAGAAGAAACAAAATCAAAAGCTGATGAAGTTAATGAAAAAATACGTTTAGCAGCAAAAACATCAAAAGATATTGAAAAATTACGTGATCTTTATCGTCCAGCTGCTAAACGTGGTGCAATATTATTTTTTGTTTTATCAGAAATGCCCTTAATAAATACAATGTATCAATATTCATTAACAAGTTATTTAGATGTATTTGAATTTCCATTAAGGGCCCCCCCTGTAAGCGTCAGGTGCCCTTGTACTAACAGCTCACAAAACAATCCCAGTTCAGAATCTCTACAAATCAACAATTTATTACCAACTAATTACTATTACAAATAATTTTAACAGTAATGGAAGTCTGTTCTTCTTCAATTAATGAAGAACAGTAATAATTGAATGTTGATAATAATGGAATGTTGTTGAATAGTTGCTAATGTTGATGAAGAGAAGGAGTGAGGAAGAGAATATGCAAACTGAAATTATTGCGGTATAAGAAACACAGTTA